TGTTCCTTGGTCGGGGTAAATGAGTAGAAGCAATCGGAATCGCGAAATCTAGATTTCTACTCAGACTTCTGCAACGATTGAAGCTTCTTGATCAGGGATTGCATAAGTTTTCGGCCACTTAGTAAAGTAGTCTGTGATAGTTAGTATGTATTTTGTAGCTTTGATTGCACTAGATAAAAGTTTGAGAGCATCCAGAGCAATCTTTCAAATGGTGCTCCAACATCACAGTGCTATTGCAGTGTAATAACAAGTGTACATGTTTTGGTGCACATATTTGTGCTTGTATACATGTTTGCTGGTCGTTTCAATCTCCACAGGCATCAGAGGATTTGCAGCATTCAAAAATTTTATTCGCTAATTTAAAAATGTTTACGTTAGGAGCTGATGTGTTGTAACTAGTTCATCAATTACTAAATAAATAAAATTGATTTTTAGCTGCACATAAAACAGCGAAAAGAGCTGCCGAAAATTCTAAAAATCCGTAGGCATATTTAAGTCTCTTAATATAATAATCTTAATTTTTTATATTTTAAATACACTAAATTTGAAATGCATTTTGATTATGTATCAGTTCTCACAGTAAAATAACCTGAAGAGAATAGAATAAAATAAAAAGGTATTTTTAAAACTATTTTTAAATTTTAATTAAGTAGCTGTATGTAAGTGACAACGTTTATTCAACTCATTGCCAGAAAGAAGAAATATGATATCTGCTTGTGGTGCTCACCCCCACAAAAAGTTTATAACTTTTTTAATAGAGGATATATTTAATTAAAGAACAAGTTATGTTCTGTGCGCTTGAAAGGTATGTACGATTATAAATGTAGTTATTTTAAATGAGTTTTCGAAAGCATGATTTTCTTTCTAAGATAAGTAAAGCTCAAATATAGAGTTATATATACAGTTTTAAATGTGAGCACAATTAGTTTTGAATAGAGCAGTAAAGTCAGTAAATGTATTATTTGCAGTTTGATTAAAATAAAGTAGCACTTTGATTAAAATTTTATTCTGAAAACTATTTTCCTACATACACACAGAAGTGAATTTTATGTAACTGAAAATATTCTAACCATGCAATGACACGAATTAACAACACACGTCGTTTAAATAACGATAATCCAGGTTTCCATACGCATTTGAAATTAATTACTTCGAACAAATTATCAACTAAATTACGACTATGTAAAAGAGTACAATAACAAGCTGCAAAGTAAGAAAAGAATGATAGAAAATAAAATGTGAATACTTACAAAATGAGAATGAGAATGAAAGAAAGAAACGAAAAAACATTGGAAAGAATTCTTAACAAGTGCAACATTCTTTCGACAAACAATTTCAATTGAATTCCGGCTAATAAAAATTAACTGTACTCCTAAAGTAAGACTTAATAGACAAGGTAAGTTAATCAAAAAATCAGAAAGGGAAATACTTCTCGATATTGGCAAATAATCAAACAGTTTCTGCTTATTAAAATGTAAAAAAAAATTAATTACAAAATATGAAAGTACACACTTTATAACCGCGCTGTAGCTCTAACAATTGGGCAGAATTGTAATTATAATACAATTTAACGAATTTAAATCATAATTTTACATATTTTACATGTTCGTCACAAATTAGCAACTTTAACAATTTCTTTTAGATATACTCATTTATGTTTGCAAATTTTTCATAAATATCTACATCAAACATTTTCTTACATGAAAAGCTATATGAAAAACCATGGATATTGAAATCAAGTATAACTCTTGTTTCATTTGATCTATTTAATATTGGCAAGTAATATTTCCTTTTCATCTTCTTCGAGCTGTGTAAATTATACATCTTGATATATTTTCATCACAAGTTTTGTTTTGGCTTATCTCTTAGTTAGTAAGAACAAGTTAAGGAGTTTTGTTTTGGCCAGGAGGGCAAAATTACGTCTTTCTTGGCATGGGCCTTAAGACCAAGCATTACCAAGCTCTATCCGAATTCTGATGGAGCATCTCAAAGAAGGGGATGGGTCCAAATATTTCCACCCTTCTTTCCCTACCACCAAACCACTCGAGAAAGACTTTCAACTCACCGTGTAATTTGAGTGCTCTCATGCCACACAGACATCCGATGCCATCCGCTTGCAAACATCAAAGCCGTCACCGAGATTCGAACCGGAGTCCAACAAATGACACATCAAAATCACTGTGCCCCTAACTTGAGCTCATTAAGAGTATTCATATACATTATATTCCATATATGGGCTATTAAATAATTATCCATTTTATTTGTAAGATATGTTACATTTATTCGCTAGTTTTATTAACCTTTAATCCCGTATTACACTTACTGTATTTATTATTTCAAACTTGAACTACTGAATCTTTATACAATAGGCTCCGCTTACTGTGATCACTTTTAGCCACTGTTATTTACACAATTTTATCTGAATGATAATATTAAACGATAAGAAAAAATGCTCTTAAAATAGAAATTGGTATTATTAATTTAATGTAAATATAACTAGAAATAAAAAAACAGGTACTTTCAAAACATTTTAATTAGAACGTGTGCATAATATCGTAAAGTCTTATTTTAATTTTCTAACCAGTTATTTTAATTTAAATTACTTTCCTATCAAGCCTAGTTTCTTTTCCCTGTCAGAATCTAAATTTTTAATTCAAACAGAACTTGCCAGTGTGTAATTTGAAATCATTGACTAAGATCGAAATCAAGTTGTTTGGGGACTTAATCTCTTACTTGACGACATTTCTTTATCACTTGGCAGTTTTCACTACCAATTTTAAAATTATTGACTTTACTTCAGCTGAAACATTTATTCTACAATATTCCGATCATAGTAACCGAATTGTTGATTATAAAAAGTGAAACATTTTTTATGATTTTTTATACAATCGGACAGGACTTCAGCAATTCGAAACCAATATCTGAATGATAACATTAACCATGATCACATTATGCGGCGTCTACTGTACTTCCCTTTCGTAGTTTGTTATAGATTTTATTTCATACTAATTTCATTCATTTCAACTACTTTCATCTTGTAACTGATAATAACTTCTCAGAAATTAAGCTTATCCAATGTATTCATAGCCAGTTTATTCTGATGATTCTGATCTTACCTTCCTCATTCATTTTATTAATAATACGAAATATTCATCAAAACAAAGGGACGGTTATTCGTAGCTTTTTATTTTGGTATAATATACTACAAAGTGAGACCGAAACGTATGGCGACTAATGTAATAATAATAACTGTATTGCATATTTACATATAAATACATCACTGTCCTTCAAAGTAGTTCCCGCAGTCTAGAATGCACTTCTGACAACGTTCATACAAGTTCTGGAAACTTTTGAAAAAGTCCTCTTTGAGATTGTGTTAAGTTCTTTCCTAACAGCAGCTTGAATGTCTGAGATGCTTTAAAATCGGTGTCCCTTTAATGCCAATTTCACAACTCATTTTCAGTAATTTGTGTAAAGGAACACCGATTTTCAAGCATCTCAGACATTCAATGCATTATAAAAATAGAGATTATAAAAATTCTGTTGTCATTCCCTTCTTTCCATCAATTAGCTATTAAGTTGCACATATTTTGCAGAAATTTAACTTTCGGGTTGTTTATTCTCCCATCAATATAATTCCGAGTTCCATACTCAAGGACCCCATTCCGGATATGAATTATTGGGGTATTTATAGGATTCCTTGCTAGTGTGGTTTGATTTACATTGGCCAAACTGGAGAGCCTTAAAAATATTTCGCGTCGCGGAACATGAGGCATATGTTAGAAAAAAGGAAACACAGAAGTGTTCTGTTGCTCAACATTGTTGGTCCGAAAATCACACTTTCAATTTTTTTGCTGCCAAAATTATTCAAAAAACATCTTCCATTGGAGAACTGGATTTTCTAGAGGCATTTCACATTCAAAAAAATCTTTCTGTTCTAGTTAACGATCCTAATTCCAATCCATCTTTGCCTTCGGCCTTTAAAGAAATTATGTTTTAGTTCTGGTTTCAACAACAGATGGCGCCACTTGCTTATTCTTGTCCAGCTTTCTTATCTTATCTAATCATTATTTCCTATCTTGTTCATTTGCGGTTTTGCAGCTGAGGATGGTGGTTCAGTAAAACCATCGAAAGTAGTCCTGTGAAAATTTTGAAAATATTACGCTGATTTTTGTTGTTTGACCTTCTGATTTTGTATTCAAGCATCTGTTTCCAAGAAACTTAACACAGTCTCAAAGAAGGACATTTTCAAAAGTTTCCAGAACTTGAATGAATGTTGTCAAAAGTTTATGGTAGACGGCGGAAACTACTTTGAAGGAGAGTGATATATTTATATGTAAATATAAAATACAGTTATTATTATGACATCAGTCACCTTACTTTTCGGTCTCAACTTGTATTATAAGACAGCTAGATTTTTTTGCCATCATGTGTCGAAATCTATCTGTAATTATGACTCTGGTAGTCTAATATTATTCTTTAATATTTTGTTATGATTATAGAGACATTAGGTATTTTTGGGAGCCGGAAAGATGAAAATATGAAACGCCTTCGCCGGGAATCGAACCGCGGACCTCTCAATTACGCGCTGAGCGTGCAGACCACTACACCACGAAGGTTCGCTAAGAAGGCGAGAGAAATACCATATATGATGATTAGGATATGTGATATTTTTTCAGTTATAGTATACTAATTTATTTTTGAACAATAGCAGTACACAAGGTGTTGGAATTATTACTCTATTTTTGCATTATTGACAAGGCTCTTAATAAAATTCTTCTTTCATTGGTATTTTGCCGTGCAACTCATAAAAGTTATCTGAAAATCACATACGATAATTCATAATCGAATATAATTACGTCGACTTAAGGTTATTATGCATTATAGATACTATTCGATTGAAAAGCGCGGGCAGGATCAAAAGTCAGGAATATATGTTTAATATAAGTATATTTGTTTCAAAGAAATATTTATGAATAAACGTATTTGTTTGTTTTCAGGAAACCGAATTTCTAGAAATATCTTCTATTAGGGACTCCAGAACAGGAAAGTACTCTAAGACGCCAAGGGTAAGTTGTTATTCTAAAATTTGCTAGATTTAGCTTTAAATATCGAGTCTTAAATTCCCATTTACTGGTATAAGATGAATTAATAATAATTACAGTAATGCTAATGTAAAACATTTCTTTGAGACTCATTCTACAATGGGATATTAAATCTAATATCTTAATGCTTTTTAAGTAATTTCTTTCTAGAAGAATAATTTTCAACAGCACTTTATTAAATAACAACTACTTTACGCTTCTGTATTTCAAACTGAAACTAAATATAGCTCTTATGACGTAATGATTTAAGAAAGATTAAAAAAGAAATGAAAGGCTGATTACATTTAATTTAAGCTTTAGGTCATCATCTATAGCAGTAATTATTTGGACTTCTTATTGTATGTCTATTTTTTTAATAGAAAACTTAGCGTCAATCTTTGGGCAAATTTCCTATTACCACAAAAGTCATATAAGTCATACAATATTGCTACATTAGTATTTCTGGTATAGAGAAATGAATATAATAAACATCATAGTACAATTAAGACACCATAACACGCCGAATAAATACCAATTCAGAAGTCAAACAACAAAAATCAGCGTTCATCCACAAAATTTTCACAGGACTAGTTTCGATGGTTTTACCGAAACATCATCTTCAGCTGCAAAACCGCAAATGAACAAGATAGGAAATAATGTTTAGATAAGATAAGAAAGCCTGGACAAGAATAAGCAAGTGGCGCCATCTGTTGGCGAAACCAGAACTAAAACATAATTTCTCTAAAAGCCGAAGGCAAATTTGGATTGGAATTAGGATCGTTAACTAGAACAGAAAGATTTTTATGAATGTGAAATGCCTCTAGAAAATCCAGTTCTCCAATGGAAGATGTTTTTTGAATAATTTTGGCAGCAGAAAAATTGAAAGTGTGATTTTCGGACCAACAATGTTGGAGCAAACAGAAGACTTCTGTGTTTCCTTTTTTCTAACATATGCTCATGTTCTTTAACGCGAAATTTTAAGGCTCTCTTAGTTTGGCCAATGTAAATTAAACCGCACTGGCAAGGAATCCTGTAAATACCCCAGGAATTCATATCCGGAATGGGGTCCTTGAGTATAGAAGTTGGAATTTTATTGATTGGAGAAGTAAACAACCCAAAATTTAAATTTCTTTCTTTTCTGCAAAATATGTGCAAACTTTATAGCTAATTGATGAAAGAAGGGAATGACAACAGAATTTTTATAATCTCCTAAAATAAGAGTGTGGCTTTTAGTGTGTTGAGATGAGAATTTTTAAAACTGCTTGAATAATGTTGGGTGAAAGCCCCTGTCAATAGCTATTGCTTTTAAATAATTTAGTTCTTCATCAAGGGCTAGTTTGGAGGAGCAAACTTGAAGAGCACGGAAAACATAGGAATAAAATGAAGCTAACTTTTGTTTAGTCGGATGACATGATTTAAAGTGTGGTGAAAGGCAAACCGATGAAGGTTTACGGTAAACTGTAGTACTGAAGTTGGATGTGTTACGTGTGACCAGAATGTCGAGAAACGGAAGAGAATTGCAAGTCTCAAGTTCAAAAGTGAACTGAATAGCAGGATCAATAGAATTCATTGTTGAAAGAACTCTATTTAAATCATCTTTATTACCTTCAAACAGGGTAAAAGTATCGTCTACGTAGCGGAACCATGCCGGGAAGTTTAAAGTTTCAAACAATTTTGATTCATAATAATGCATGTAGATATCAGCCAGGATGGGACTGAGGGGGCTTCCCATGGCTAATCCATCCCTCAGTTTGCTTGTAATATTTATTTTGGAAAACAAATGTGTTTGTTTCAAACAGAGTTGAGTGAGAGAAATTAGCTCATCAATTTCGATGCAAGAGAAATGAAATTCGCGAAGTCTGGTTTCTAGACATCTTAATGCACCCTCCACTGGGACATTGGTGAATAATGATTTTACATCAAAAGAAACCATGAGTAAATTACGAGGAGAAAAGTTTTTAACCTTTTTTACAAACTCTATTGAATTTTTTATGGTGTAAATGTTATTGTCTAATAGAGTGGAAAATCTAGAAACTAAATATTTAGCTAATGGATACGAGGCAGTACCTAAATTTGATACAATAGGGCGGAAAGGAATACCACTTTTATGAATTTTGGGAAGAGCATATAATCTGGCACAATTCGCAACAGATGGGATAAGCGAATGTTTTAAGTTGCTTGAAATGATTTGCGAAGATTTGATCGCAGTTTTTATTTTTGACAAGTCTTTAGAGGTGAAGGATTTTATCTTTAAAGGTGAAGGATCTTTAGGGATCGGATTATATGGTCCTTCGTTTAAGAGTTTAGTGACACCATGGATGTAAGTGTTCTTATCCATGACGACTATCTAGCCACCTTTGTCTGCCTTTGAAATGAATAATCCGGGTTAGAATGAATTTCGCGCATTGTAGCTCTTTCTCTCTCGCAGTTAGATTTGGTTTCAAAGGTTTATTATTGAATTTCACATTATGAGCGATAAGATGCCTAATCATTTCTTTCTGTGAATCTGAAACTTTACTGAACTTGAAAGCTTTTTCGATAGGAGCCAAAATCTTTGGAATCGAGGGTTTACAGGTTTGTGAGAAGTTAAAATTATATTTTAGAATTCTCTCTTGTTCTTCTGAAAGACTAACATTAGAAATGTTATTCAACATTATTAATCAAGCAGTTAAAAAGTTCTCATCTCAACACACTAAAAGCCACACTCTTATTTTAGGAGATTATAAAAATTCTGTTGTCATTCCCTTCTTTCCATCAATTAGCTATAAAGTTGCACATATTTTGCAGAAATTTACTTTCGGGTTGTTTACTCTCCCCATCAATAAAATTCCAACTTCTATACTCAAGGACCCCATTCCGGATATGAATTCCTGGGGTATTTATAGGATTCCTTGCCAGTGCGGTTTAATTTACATTGGCCAAGCTAAGAGAGCCTTAAAATTTCGCGTCAAAGAACATGAGGCATATTTTAGAAAAAAGGAAACACAGAAGTCTTCTGTTGCTCAACATTGTTGGTCCGAAATCACACTTTCAATTTTCTGCTGCCAAAATTATTCAAAAAACATCTTCCATTGGAGAACTGGATTTTCTAGAGGCATTTCACATTCATAAAAATCTTTCTGTTCTAGTTAACGATCCTAATTCCAATCCAAATTTGCCTTCGGCTTTTAGAGAAATTTTGTTTTAGTTCTGGTTTCGCCAACAGATGGCGCCACTTGCTTATTCTTGTCCAGGCTTTCTTATCTTATCTAAACATTATTTCCTATCTTGTTCATTTGCGGTTTTGCAGCTGAAGATGATGGTTCGGTAAAACCATCGAAACTAGTCCTGTGAAAATTTTGTGGATTAACGCTGATTTTTGTTGTTTGACTTCTGAATTGGTATCATAGTACAACTGAAGCATATTGCCATTAGGTCTGCACTTTTCCTCTGTCCAATCAACTGCCAAGTGTATAAGATTATTGAACTTTGGTAACACTTAGCAATCTAGCTGGCTGCAAGACTATTTTACTGACCCTTCATATATAATAAGAATACGAGCAAATTTAAATTTTTGACAGAAAGCTTTCCACGACAAGCATCCTTTCCTTCCGCAGATATCCCTCAACCCCTTGGCTTTGATCAGTTAATCTAACATTTCCTCTCCTCCTCCCTAACAAGAAAAAGGTAATGCATAATTTCAGAAAAACACTCTCAGGAAAAATTTTGTGTTTCAAAGTGTTATCTGAATGGTAAATTGACGATGAAGACATAACCTATGCATATAAATGAAATGAATATCAGGCAATTTATTCATTACCTAGAACATTCCACCTTATTGATGTCAATTACGCGATGATACGTAGAGTTTGATAAAAAGAAAATTCGTACCTTTTTTACTTGATTTTTTACTTAAAAGTAATGATTAATGGTTCATAACAGGGATTTGACCAAAACCCTCCTCCTTCCAATTCCCATATGCTGCTTTTAGCAACTAAGCTATACGAAACAATGACCCAGAATAATTTACAATTAACGAAATGTTTCGAATTTTCGCTTCCTCGAACATGCATTCGACTTTATCTGATTTGTGCTTTCTTAACACTCTGAGATATTCTGATTGCTGCCAGGTACAATAAGTTTCATTTACGGCATTGTGCAATGAAAGAAGAGGCACCTCTAAGGATTCTGCTGCAATCGGCAGCTGACTTCATGCTGAAATCTGAAACAAAAATAAATCTGTTTCCAATCATTCAGGTTACTTTTCTCGCTGAGCTGTCCCTACCCGGTGCTGATATTTTTAAAGATGGTTAATCTCTTGAGGTTGGAATTAATGGCACTCTGATTGGGAGATCTCTTCATGGTATAATGATTTCCACTGGTGCGGTATGAATTGTAATGGCTCAGCTTAATTGTGAATGTTGACATATATTCCCTAAAATGTTTTAAACAAAATAAGGTTAAGCAGTCCAAACTGGTTGTAAAATAACTAATATAGTTTAAGGTATTTAAAGTATTACTATATATTTTAAACGATTCTAATACTGGAAAAAAAATTAACAATATGTGTGCCTAGTTATAAAGCAAATTAAAAAATTCAGGATAAAATATTATTGTAAATTTATTAAGGACGCTCACTTATTTACTGAATGCTATTTATTCTTGGCCTTATAATGCATTACGTTTCCTAGACCTCCAGCCATAACCTTTATATTAGGCGGTACAACATCATATTAGGAATGGCTTTTCTTGAAAATTTTGAAAGTTAATTTCTGTTAGAAAATTTGCAATTTTACCTAGTGTTTTTTAATTTGTTGACATTTAGGCAAGGTTATGTATTATGACAGGGTTCTAATAATTTAATTTTGTTTAGAAATTTACTATTTTATCCCGAATTTATCCTCTATTCTCACGAAGGTGTAAGCTGTTTAATTTATTAATTTCGTAAATTTAATAACTGTAGATAAGTACAACATCATTACAAATTATTTCCTACTATTGAGGAA